CCGTCCTAATTTTATCTGTGCTTCCTCTGCAAATTCCTAACAGATCCCAGCTGCTGGGCTGGGGGTGCTGCTTTTCCCGGCAGGAGGATTTCAGGGGGATGGGGCTGGGCTGGGCGTCGTGGGGGCTGCAGGTGCCCCGGGCATCTCATGGGGAGCCTGGAGCGGGGAGGAAGGGTGACGGAAAGCCTTAGGGAGGAGAGAGGAAGGGAGTGGAGGAAGAGCAGGGTGGGGAGGAAGGACAGAGGGGCTCTGCCTTTCTCACAGCCATGGGAGAGGCAGTGGTCCAGCCCTGTGAACCAAAAGGCCGGGCAGAGCACCTCAGAGCATCGCTCCCCACGGCCTCAGCTGGCTCCTTCCCTGACTGTCCCAGCTGTCCCAGTTGCTGGAAGTGGGACGAGACGCTCCTCTCCCTGCTGGGGCCCCGTGTCTGCCCAGAGCTAATAAAGCAAATCACTGGTGCTTAATGAAGAAGCACCTGCTTAATTGAACGCAGCAGGATGGTGCTCAGCACGGCCGGGTGATGGGACGGGGCCAGCACAGCTTCCCTCCCAGGGCTCCCTGCAGGTCCCAGCGGAGGGGACGGTGTCATCATTTGCAGCGGGGCTGGATTTCATCTTTTTTTTTTTTAATTTTATGGGTAAAAAACCAGACTTTCACCCCCTTCGAGCAAGCATTGGGCTGCTGTGACCCTCCACCGCCCCATTCCCGCATGGTCGCTCGGGGCAGGGGATGGGGCTGAAGTGGTTAACGGGGCAAGCGGGTGGGATGGGAGCTCCGACAGCTCCCTGAAAGGATGATGTTTAGATTAGCTGGGTTTCCAGGCATCGTGCTCTCAAAGCAAGAGGGTTGGGAGTGCTGGGAGGGATGCCGGGGCTTGCCCTTAATTGGAGATGTGGCTCTGAAGCCACCCCATCGCTCTGATGTCCCCTGGGCTCCTGCACGCTGCCCTGCAGCAGCTCCCTGCCCCGGGGCTTTCGGCTTGTCCCCGTAACCTCATCCTATCCCACCGATCATTAACGTGATGGGAATTAATTGTGATTGACATTGCTGCACTGGCGACCACGGCGAACCGCGGGACGGGGGCGGGGGGGGGGAGGGGGTGTGTGGCTGTGGTTCTTAATAGGGTGCAACTGGGGCACAGGTTGGGGATGCGAGGGGACCCCAGGGTGACACGGTGATGCTAAGCTTGGGGTGACCTCCATGGCTCTTCCCTTGGCCAGCATCATCTTGCCGAGGGGTCCTTTAGGCGGGGTCCTGTCCCCACGGCGGGGGCTGGAGGTGACCCACTGGGTCCTGGGGTTCGGCCTCATCTGAGACGGTGGCCAGGGAGCGTCCCCCATCGCCACACTGCAGGCAGGCGTTGCCTCCCATCTGCCCGCAGGCACATTCCTTGGCTCCGTTGGAAAGGCTTAAATAACCCTTTTAATTTAAGGAGTTCAATTTTAATGGCCTAAATACCGCACTTCATTATCACCGCCATGTGCCTGTGCCGACAGCTGCCTGACGTCTCGGCGATATGGTGCGGTGATGCTCTGCTGCTGCTACCTCCCCGGAGATGCTTCTTCCCTTCCTCTCCCACGCCAGGAGGTCTTTGGGGACTCGCTGGGTCCCCGTGGGCAAAGGGGCCAGACAAGGGGACACACGTGTCACCTACGGGGATGCAGGGAGAGCCCCGGGGATTAGCATCTCGCGGAGATGATGATTCGGAGTGGGGGGGGACTTGCCGGCTCCTTCCGTCATCACCTCAAAGCGCAGGCAGGTGGATGGGTGGGTGAGCCAGCCCCGTTAGTAACTTACATTTATAAGGTGTATGTATTTGGGGGAGATATATATATTTAAGGGGGGATATATATACACACATATTTATGGGATGTATATATCTGGGGGATGTGTATTTATGGGTGGACATATAAGGGGTATGGCTCCCGCTCGCTGTCCCCTCTGCCCCATCCCCT